TACTGTATACAAGAAATATTTAACTCGAAAGGAAATTCATGGACTAAAAGTCAAAGGATGGAAAATAATATTCCATGTGCCAAGAACCCAGAAAAAAAGCAAGGGCAGCAATTCTGTTAGCACACAATGTGAACTCCAAACCAAAAATGATCAAAAGAGATAAATAATGTTATTATACACTTGCTAGGAGAAAACTTCAGGTGAAACAGATAACAATCATAAATATATATGCACCAAGTATGAGAACAGTCAGCTATGTAAGACGAATATTAATAAACATGAAAAAATCAAATAAGTAATATAACCCCAACTCCACTGTCACAAAGACAGTTCAACTAGACAAAAAATCAGCAAAAAAAAAAAAAAAAAAAAAAAATAGAATTCAATCAAATGTATAAGCAACGGACTTAGTAGATAGGTACAGAGTATTCTACCCAACAGCATCAGAATATACATTCTTTTCAACATCACATAGAACATTCTCTAAAATAGATCATACACTAGCCCATACAACATGTAAATTAAAGAAGAAATTAAACAATATCTACAAGCAAAGTAAAATGTAAATACAAATTACTGGAACCAGTGGGACACAATGAAAGCAGTCCTCAGGGGGAAATTTATCACGGTAAATTCTCACATCAAGAAAAGAGAATGAGCACAAATAAACAACCTGATTCTATGCCTTAATATCTAGAAAAAGAAAAATAAGTCCATCTCAAAGCCCCCAAAAAAAGCGGAAATTGTAAAGATCAGAGCAGAAATTAATGCAGTTGAGACTAAGAAAACAATACAAAGAATTAACGAATTAAAGAATTGGTTCTTTGAAAGAATAAAAAGTTGATAAGACCCTAGCCAACCTTATTTTAAAAAGGAAAGAAAAAACTCAAATTCATACAATAAGGAATGAAAATGGTAAAATCATACAGACCCTGGAGAAATACAGAATATCATCAATATCTACTTAGAAAACCCTTACTCTCATAGGTTTGATAACACAGAAGAAATGGGCAGATTCCTAGAAGCATACCAAAGCTGAATCAAGAAGATATAAAACTGCCGAATAACCCAATTTCAATTAATGAAATTGAAAATGCAATGATAATCCTATCAACAAAGAAAAGCCCAGGCCCTGATGGATTCATTGCTGAACCCTAAAAGAAATTTAAGGAAGACTTAGTGTCAAATTGAAAAAGGAAGAAATTAACCCTAACTTATTCCTGGAAGCAAGCAATATCCTAATACCAAAACCAGAGAATGACCCAACCGAAAAAGAGAACTGCAGGCCAATCTCCATAATGAACATAAATGCAAAAATCCTCAATAAAATACTAGCAAATAGCATGCAGCAAATCATTAAGAAGATTATACACCACAACTAAGTGGGATTCATCCCAGGAATACAGGGATAATTCAGCATTTGCAAATCAATAAATGGAATACACCATATCAATAGAGCCAAAGACAAGAATCATGCTATCATCTCAATAGATGCAGAAATAACTTTTGATACAACCCAATACTCACTCATGATTTAAAAAAAATCTTACAGAAAATTGAAATAGATGGTCTTTACTTCAATCTAATATAAGCCATATACAATAAACCAACAGCCAACATCATACTAAACGAACAAAAGCTGTAAGCTTTCAACCTAAAATCAGGAACAAGACAAGGATGTCCACTATCACTGCTTCTATTCAGTATATCTCTGGGAAAGTTAGCCATAGCAATTAGACATGAGAGACAAACAAAAAGAATAGAGATAGGAAAGGGAGAAGCTAAATTATCATTACTTGCAGAAAACATGATACTCTACATAGAAGATTCCCAAAATTCTACTGAAAGATCTAATTCAGTAATGTAGCTGAATATAAAGTCAACACTCAAAAATCAAAACATCCCTATACACAAACAACGAACTCACCAAGCAAGAAATAAGGGAAACCACACCCTTCACAATAGCATCCACAAAAGTGAAGTGCACGAGAATCAATTTAACAACAGGAGTAAAGGTTCTAGCATTGAAAATTACATTACTATGTAAAAAGAAATTGAAGAGGATTTCAGAAAATGGAAAGGAATTCCTTGTTCACGGAGAGGAAGAACAAACATTGTAAAAATGGCCATTCTCCCAAAATTATTATCCAGATTTAATACAATTCCAATCAAAATACCAGTAGCATACCTCTCAGACCTAAAGAAAGCATTCCTAAAAGTCATATGGAACCAGAAGAGACCTAGAATAGCAAAGGCAATTCTGAGCAAAAAAGACAAGACAGGAGGCATCATAACCCCCAACTCAAAGTTATACTACAAAGCTACTGTGATAAAAATCAGCATAGTACTTGCAAAACAATAGGCCTGAAGATCAATGGAATAGATTAGAAGATACAGGTACAACAGCAAACATACTCAGCCACCTTATCTTTGGCAAAGGAGCCAAATAATTTCACTGGAGGAAAGACAACCTTTTAAATAAATATTGCTGGAAATACTGGCTTTCCATATGCTAAACACTAAAACTAGATCCATGTCTATCACCATGCACTCAACTAAAGTCAAAATGGAAGAAAGATCTAAATATTAAAACAAACACTAAATCTGCTGGAAGACAAAGTGGGTAGAATTCTTGAAGACATAGAAGTAGATAGTTCACGAACAAAAATAAAACTGCATGAGAAATACTTCCCAGGATCAACCCCTGATATCTCATCTTATTAAAAAGTTTTTGCGTGTTATAAGAAAATTTTAACAGAGTGAAAAGAAAACCCACTAGCTGGGGAAAAAATTCTTAGTCAACTGTCACTCAGACAAAGGCCTTCTGTCTAGAACATATAAAGAATTTTAAAAGACCAGGCTCCCAAAATTCAAAGACCTAATCCAAAAATGGGCATCTGAGATGAACATACACTTCTCTGATAAAGAAATATAAATGGGGGTTGGGGATTTAGCTCAGCGGCATAAGCGCCTGCCTTGCAAGCAGGCAGCCGTGAGTTCGATCCCTGGTACCGATAAAAAGGAAAAAGACAAAAAAAAAAAAAAAAAAAAAAAAAAAACCCGAAAGAAAAGAAAAATATCTAGCATCATTGTTCATTAAAGAAATGCAAACTAAAACAGTGCTGAGATTCCATGTCACTCCAGAAAGAATAGCCAACATCAAGATACCAATCAATAATAAATGCTGAGAAGGCTGTGGGGAAAAAGAAACTCTTCTCCACTGTTGGTAGGAGTGTAGGCTGGTGCAATCACTGTGGAAATCAGTGTGAAGTTTCCTCAAAAAGCTAGGATTAGAGGTCCCGTTCAACCCATCATCCCACTTCTAGGCATTTTCCCAGAAGAATTGAAAATATCATACCACAGTGTTTCATCCATATTTATAGTAGCACAATTTGTAATAATCAAATCTTAGAAACAACTAAAATGCCCATTAACTGAGGAATGTATAAAAAAAATATGACATTTTTATATGATGGAGTACCACTCAGGTATAAAGGATTGCACTGAGTATTTTATGGATGAGACTTGAGACCATACTTACAAGTGAAGTAAATCAGGCTCACAAGTATACATATCATATTGTTTGCCTAGTGTAAGAGGCGTAAAGTGTAAATAAGATCCAAAATCTACAATAGATATTGTAAATGGGTAAGAAACTGCTCCAAGGGGAAAAATAACTAGGATAAGGGAAAGGAGACAAGCAAAGGAAAAGGAAAAAGACATAAATTTGATTATATATACATAAAATAGCTAAGATGTTTATACTACTAATTCTATTAGTTCTTGGAAAAGAACAGTTAATACTCATATGATTAGATCATTTTGCATGTCTATATTTGGTAATCTAAGCAACTCTTTTTTTTTTTTTTGTCTTTTTCATTTTTATTGGTACCAGGGATCGAACTCACGACCACCTGTTTGCAAGGCAAGTGCTTATGCCACTGAGCTAAATCCCCAGCCCCCTAAGCAACTCTTTTGAAGATAACCATATGCAATATTACAACCACTGTTAAATTCCGATCATCTTACTTTGAAAATGTGTATTGTTATTATTTGGGGGTCTTGTTGTTCTTGTAGTTGTTTGCACGGCTCTTGTTTTTAATCTTTCTTTTCTATGTTTTTTCTCCTTAAAAAATTTTTTTTTAAATCTGAAAGAGTAATAAGATCCAAAATGTACAATAGATATTGTGAAAGAAAGTGCTCAAAATGAAAAAACATCTGGGACAGGGGAAAGGAGAAAAGGAAGAAAAGATTACAAGTATATAGATATACATATATGTGTGTGTGTATATATACATGCATACTCAAGGTAGATAACTATGTTACTAGTCTTTGTAAGTTCATATAAAGAACAGTTTGTGCTTTCATTGATTGTTTGACCATTTTTATGCCTAAATCTTGTAATCTGAATAAGTACTTCTAAGATAACAATATGCAATGTATTAACTGCTTTTACTTTCTCCTATTTTTTAAAATTCTGTGTCATTTCTATCCTTTTTCTGTTTTGCTTTTAAAATTAAAAATAAATAAGTAAAACAAAGTTATTCATCCACTTATAGGGTCATTTTGCACTGAAGCTACTTGGCTTTGTCATTTTCTTACTATTTAAAGAAATATTTTTATAGTGTTAAAGATCACATTTATTATCAGGCTAATATATATAGGGAGGTGATCACAAACATGGAAAATAAACATTTAATGTGAGCAGATGCATACCCATACACTCATACACATGCATACTGTAAGGCAGGGATGCTTTGGCTGCCCTTCTCAGTGCCCAGCGCTGCTTCCCAGTTCGAGCCTCTAAGCAGGATGTTTCACATTCTCATCTGTCCACACCTTCTTTTCCCTTTGTGTGCAAAACTGCAGACAGACTATGAGTAGTTGACCACCAGGGGGGGCCCAATATCTTATAGTAGCTTTATGGGTGGAGGGGAGGAATGGCTGAGGAAGACCAGAAGTCTATTCTCGCTAAGGCTACACAGGTTGGTGGTTCCTACCTGGGTCACTCCTTTCTGCAAAGGCCACAATGTGGATTCCATTCAAATCATCTTCCTGTAGGAAAGAAGAATCAGAGGTTATACTCTCAGGTGGAGAGACAGAAAGTACCAGAGGCATGGTCAAGAGGAGGGGATGGAAATGTTGTGGGGAGGAAGGGAATGCCACAGAGGCAGAGAGAAACAGGCAAGGTGCATGCTAAGGAAGGGAACACTCATAAGCAGCTTGCAGGAATGCATGGAATTTTGATTAGGTATTCAGATATATGGGTTTGCAAGACAGGAAATAGCAACTATACACAAAGCCATAGCACTAAGTGGGTCTCACTCTTGTGGTTTGGTGATTCCAGAAAAATGGCAGACAAAAGCAAAATGAAGAAGGATATGATTTTGGTTTATCAGCATTCCAAGGGCAAATAGCACTCTGGAGTTCTTTCCCTGATGGCAGTCTGTTGCAGGGATTCACTTCCCCATCAAGAGAGATCATCAGTGATGGACCAGATTCTGGAGCTGCTGACAGATCCTAAAGTTATCCTCAAATGGGCAGCAGACAGGACTCCTGCAAGTCAATCAGGATGTGGCTATTGCTGTCCACACAAGAATCATGCATATGTCTGGCCCCCACAACACTGCTTGATTGAGTCAATGGGACCCACAGACTAAGTAAGGAACACCTCCATAACTGTGAGTTCCTGGTGCATTCCTTGTGGTCCTTTCTGCTCTGAACCTAAAGTTTGCTGAATCAGTATCAGTAATTTCCTGAATAGGGAAACAGAGTCTGGAATTCAGCCCTGCAGACTGAGAACAGTCTATGTAGCTGTGCAGTCAAGGTGAGAAAAAGAAACTGGAGAGAGTATTTCAGATTCTAGGGCCAGCAAGGGGCATGTCGTGTGTCTGCATTTTAGAAAGGAACAACCACCTGCCTGTGGTGGATTTTTTGTTGTTGTTGTTGTTGCTGTTTTTGCATTCATTATTCTCAGAGAAGGAAGAGCAGGAGTCCAGAGGGGCCTGTCTGACAAGAAACATGATCCTCAGGAGATCTGAACAGGAATATGTGTGAGATTGAGGCACTAGGGGGCAGAGCCAAGTGAGTACTGACTATGGTCGATACTGAGAGGTGTTTATTGGGCACCTTGAGTGTCAGAATCATCCTATGGGAGAACAAAAATCTCAGAGTCTCAACCCTCCTCTGATCTCCATTTCCATTTCAATTGATTTTAATGCTGGTGCAATCCTATCTAAATGCTAATTTTTTCCTTTGCTTTTAGAATGGATAAAACCTCCAAAAATTCTGTACGAGATTAAATAGAAAATATTATTAAGAGCAAGAGAGTGGACGCTGCCTCGGTCAGATTCTCTGGGGAATAGAATTTTACAAATATATACGTGTGCGCATGCCAGTTTATTACACAAATCCGACAGCAACCAGAAGGGGAGTCTGAGGTTTCACTGTTTTACATTTGCTATTATCACCAGACAGAATATACCCATCAGTTCTCATTAGGCAGCCCTGTGTCTCTGTCACCTGCCATCAGTTGGCAGTGAGTGCTGTTAACTCTGTGAAACAGGCTTCATTTCTGTCTGCCCTTCTAGAACGCACTTGGAAATTGGCTTTAGAATGAAGAATCCATATTCGTTTGCTAAGAGACTGCTCGTAATAGGCCCATCATTCCCCAGGCCTGTGCAGTCCCTGGATGGAGGAGAGCTGTAACCAAGGGACCCAGCAGCTCTCTGCATGCATCTCACAGATTCAGCGCACGAACCTGTATTGAGCACCTGGAAAGAAACTGGTGCATGCTAGGTGCCAGTAATAAGCCCAGAGAGCAAGAGTCCATGGGTGGCAAGCCTGCAAGAGGGGCTGCTTGGTGAGAACTCGGTGCGAATGAGGACGAGAAGGGAGCTGACCACAGGATCTAGTGAGCCGAGGGTCAAGTCATGGGGCTTTCTCTATTACTTGACATCTTTGCTACCCAGATCTCCCATTTTACCTTTGGAACACACTGCCTTGGAATTCTCTTAAAATTCTCTCTTTAATATCATGACTCTTCCCTCATCAACTAGATGGCGAGCTCTGAAAGAAGAGATTATGCTTTCAAGTGATGACGATTAGTATGGTAACTATATCAGCCAACTGCCACTTTTTGATTAAGTATTTTGCAAATATCTTTGCTCTAAATCTCTAATGAAAGATATATTTAAATCTTAAAGATTCAAAGTGATTTACCTAGGGCCCCAAAACTAGTAGTAACATAAGTGGGATTCAAGCTAGCTTTGTCTGGTCCTGAAGCCCAGTGGCTTAGTCCATTCTGGCTGCCATAAAAAATACCATAAGCTGGTCAGTGTGTAAGCAAGAGAAACTGACAAAGCTAGTTTCTCCCACTTGCAGAACCTGGGAAATCAAAGCTGAAGGCACTGGGAGATTTAGTGTTGGTGAGGGCAGGCCGCTGCTTTCGGCTTCATGCAAGGTGTCCTCTTGTGTGTCCTCCCAGGAGAAAGGACCTAGCTGGCCCTATGGAGCTTCTTTTATAAGGGTACTAATTCCAGTCACCAGGGCTCTGCCCTCATGACCATGAGTGCCTCTCAGCATCCTCACCTCCTAATACATACCTTGAATGCTAGGATTTCAAAATAGGGATTTGGGGGAGCTACAGATATGTAGACAATAGCATCTGGAAATGATTGTCCTTTGGAAAGACTTTTTTAAAAATGTAAGCTTGAATCAGTGACTTTTAAATTGAAAAAAACCCTGAAAATAGTCGTACATAAGTGAGTGAGCATGCACTGCATCCCCAAAAGACCTGAAGATTTGGATTACTTTGTTGAACTCCCTCCTCTGGATCCCTGCCTCCTCAGCTCTTTGTGTGCCATTCTGTAGCAGTGGTGAGCACAATGAACTGGTGTTTTGTTTTGAAACCACTTCATCTACTCAAGCCCAGGATCTTAAGAACAAATTAGCAACATTTACTTTGATAACTCCATGAGCAGCATAATGTAATAGGTTCTTATTAATGTCTGTTGGCTCAAAAGAAGAGTGTAGCCATAAAAATCTTACATCCTCATCGCTGGGAAAAATTAGAAACTATGAGCCCTAAGACAAACTAGTATCATCAGCTACCTACCAACCAATGTTACCATTGTCAATATCTTCTTGTACTTTTTCATCTCTATTGAATGTTCTCATACTGAATGCAGAGATGTAAAAAAAACAAACAGTTTAGACTAGCAGGCTCCCTAACTAAGGTGCAATGGAGTGGCCTAGAGGTTTGTCTAGGAATCTTTGGTCCCATCTTGAAAGTACCATTGCTATTGCAACAGAGGGAAGATTCTTTTAGAACAGATTGTGGACTCCCATATCTTTGGAGCAGTTGCTAAGGACTAACCATTCAGACTATCTCAGGAGAGTGACAGACTGGCACTCTATCACCTTCCTCACTTTGATATTCTTTGAAAATTATAAATAGATAAATGCTCTAGAACTTACAGGCAGCAAATACTGCTAGGCACCAATTTTTAAAAATAATAATATGTGATATGTTTTCATTATGATGTACTAATTTAAAAATCTGCACAATTAGGGGAGAGAAAAATATAAACAGTGGCTTTGGCCTAGCTAGTTTTCCTATCTTAAATATTTTGCAGTGTCTGAAAAAGCAATTGTTAAAGACTTTTAAGTTCAATCATTTGTTACTTTCTACAAATCTGTGGTTTAGGTTCCTGCAGCAGTGGTTTGGGGCAGTGGTTCCAAGGTGGGCATGGTGGATGGGAAGGGAAACTGGGGAATGGCTCCTTGGGAATCCCTCTCAACTCTTAGGGATGCAATAATGGCCCTAGAGAAGACTTTCTTGCCCACCTCCCTACTTAGAGATGTGGATAAAGGCTTGGGTGGCCTGGTTAGGGCTGCTGGGAAAATCAGGTAGCCAATGCAGAGTCGAGTATTGTAGAGAAAAGCCATTCTGGTTGTCATGTTCTCTACTTGACTAAACTTAATGTGCTACTTTTCCCAGTTAGAAAACAAATGAATATAAAATAATGTGGAAAATACAAGCCATCATTATCATTTTATATTATTGCAAAAGACTAATTTATCTTATTAGGTGAAAAGAAAGCAGACAGTGAAGGCAGAGAGCAAAGATCCCTCTTGCCATCTGACTCTGATGTGAGGAGAGGATTTCTGTAGCAGGTCTGGGGTATATTCAGAGGACATGGGCTGTCAGGTCACAGAGATCATGGTCTTGGGTGTGACACTGAGATGTCTTTAAAGAAAGGAGGGAGAAAGGGAGGTTTCTATACACGTAGTCTGCTTTTTTCCTAATAAGATAAATTACAGTCTTTTGCAATAATATAAAATGACAATAATGGTTTGTATTTTTCACATCTCTGCCTTTCCAGAGCCTAGATAACAGAGTTGTCTCTTAGGGATAAAGAAAAAAATAAGGGAGGGAGGGAGGAAGGAAAGAAGGAACAAAGGAAGGAAGAAAGGAAGGAAGAAAAGGAAGGAAGGAAGGAAGGAAGGAAGGAAGGAATTGCTCTCAATTAAAAATGATATTTTCTGTCTTGAGAAACAGAAAGACCAAAAACCTATTTAAGATTAAAGGAAACCAGAAAAACAAAAACAAAAACCTAGTAATGACCAAATACAAATGTGAGATCCTGTATGTATGGCAGGCTGAGGAAAAAAGTTTTTCTTTTGCAATAATGGACATTAGTGAGATAACTGGCAATGTGGTAAAGTCTCTAAATTAGAGAATTGAGGCATATTAGTGTTAATTTCCAGATTTTGATCATAATACTGTGGTAATGATAGAAAAATCTTGTTTTGGGAAACACGAGGTATTTAGCGATAAAAGGAAAGTATATGTACTCTTCACAAAGAGTTCAGAAAAATATGCATAGAGGAAGGGAAGTCAAGGTGATCAAATGTTAACATTTGGGAAATCTGTGAAGAAATAGTGGAATTGTTTACACTATTTTTGTAAGTCAAAATTTTTTTAGAGCATTTTAAGAAAAAAATATGTTAAAGTATTGCTGGTCCCTTTTGTTATTAATGTGTAAATTTAGTGAAAGACCTTTCCGAGGTTAATTTTTTAAAAGGCTTAAATATTAGAGAAATACGTTTCTATTGTGCTGGTTGTTCTTAAAGAATGTACACCCTTGGCTTCCACTATTTGTCCTATAGAGTCTTGTGAAATGTTTGCTCTCCTTCAGAAATCCAGATAAGCTACACACCAGCAAACCAGCATCAAATTGCTCCCTGGTTCTGATCATCCATCAATCCAGATTATGAATTAAAGAACTGCATAAATAAATTGTTCCATTTTAGATCTTTTCGCCCTCACCCATCACCAAAATGACACCCTGTTAGGACATGATCCTTTGAGAGAAATACACTAGAGAGAACAAGAGATTTGGCTACAGATGGCCTTAATCTAAGTCCTGAGAACTAATATTTACCAGCTATATGTCCCTGAGTAATAATCTGCACCATCTTAAGTTTCTCCATATGTTAAATGGGCTAAAATGATACTTGTTCTACATTTCTGTGCAGCACTATAATCAGCTTAAAGTAAAAGGATCCATGAAATGCATTCACAGAAGATGCTCCAGAGACTGGTTATTATGGTTTGTGGAATTCTGTATAAATCTAAGGTGGGAGTGAAGATGTCTCTAAGGGCCTCTTTCTAACACTGTCTGAGCCACCTGCTGCATAAGCTGTCTTGATCACTTTCCAGTGCCTTGAGTTGAATTTGTTTTAAAGAGCTACCATGTAGAACCTACCACATTCAGAACTCCTCATCTCATTTATCCTCACAAAAAGTCCTGATTTTAGATGGGGAACTAAAGCTCAGAAAGAGTATATGACTTGATGTATGTCAGGAAGTTGCTATCTAGGTGGCAGATTCTGGACTCCATGACTTTGTACCCTGAACTATGAATTTGTGACCTGAGCTCCTTCTAGCACGTCACCCTAGATCTCTGATGGCCTGTGAAGAGAAGCTAGCAGTTCCTGAGGGAATAAACAGGCAAGAAAGGGGCTTAAACTGGATCCATGGAGAACTGAATTTAAATAAGCAAAATGCTCATACCCCTAAGACTTAGTCTGAGACTTGGAGTTTAGTTAAAAGGGGACTTCTCTTGGGGATACATTAGTCCTGTAAGGAAGAAAGAATTCACTACAGTCTTACCCATGTTTCAAACATGTCTTGTGGCCGCAGGCGACGGAGAGTGGGTCTGAAAAACAGGAGGCACTTCCTTGAGTAAGGATCACCAATGGCAGAGACTGAGCCTCTGCCCTGGGAAATGTAAACAAGCTACTGGCTCCCTTCCAAGAGCTTGAAGAGCCCCCAAACCCACTTCTGCTCTAAGGAAGTAAAGCTGCTTTGCTTTGTTATGTTGAGAACCGAAACCACTGAATCTGTCTCTAGACTCATTTGATCCAGGGCAGATCAAGTCCATTATAAACAGTGGGTCAGAGATATAGGGTTGGTTCATTCCTAGGCAAAAAACATTTCTCTTTTCATAGACAGGTAGCATTCCGAAGAGCCTAGAGTAAGTCCCAAAGGAGGAAACTGGTTCCAGACCAAACAGTCATTGTTTTATCATAGAGGTCATCTGTCAAAATCCCTTTAGGAATCTTTGAGAGAGGGACAAGAAGGACCTATATATTGCTCATAATTTCAAGTATTTCTGAATTTTTGCAAACTGTGAAGCTTTTGTCTCTTTCGTTCGTGGTATTCGGCATTGACCATAGGGCTTTGCACATACTAGGTAAGTACTCTGCCACTCAGTTGGTGAGACATGTTAATGTTTGTTCGTTCTTATACTGTTTCCATTCAGGAACGAGCACTGTCTGAACACAGAGACCACAGTGTTCTAAGTTCAGTGACTACACTTGTGCATAGAAAGAAAGAGGATAAGTCAGTGAGCTCATAAGATTGCAGATGAAATAAAGTGGCTCCCATAAAGCACCCAGCATAGTGTTTGACATACAGGAAACTTTCTACTAAATTGCTTCATTACTAGAATAGAATCTTACTTACTTCTCACTCTGATTTTGAGGAGATTTGCTGAGTCTAACCCTATTTGCAAGCAATAGCTGCCATTTATCATGACCAATATTCTGCCTGGGGTACTTTAGGTTGTTGCTCTTGGTGGATCTGGGTTATTAGCACCAAGAGGCTCTTTCCCATTCTCCATGCCCCAGATTCCTTTCCCCATATGCTGTCTTAGGCACCTTTGGTGTTCCTTCACAAACTCCACGAGCTCCTCTTCCGAGTAGGGTTTGTTGGGGATGGCAGTGGGCTCATCCATAAATGGCTCATAGAAGTCAACTTCATTTATCTTCAAAGAAAATTTCTTTGCAACCTGAAATAGAAATGAGACAATAGGTTGAGTGCTAGTCTAGAGAGGTTGCATGCTGGACATCCACCAGAACTGTGTGTGCTATCTGGCAAAGAGTCCAAGTATGTGAATATTTTTACATAATATTAAAATAATAAGAATTCATCATCTATAACCTCAATTAGACCAATCTATTTCTGTGATGAAAGGGGAGAGACAGACAAAAAGAAACAGAAAGGAAAGATTTATCTGACAAATGATGGGCAAGTAGATGCAGGGAACAGCTAGAATAGACAGGAGGGGTCTATCATTCTACCCTCATTATCACTCCGCCATATTTGTGGGAGCTGGAGGAGGAAGTAAATGCCAGTGGAACATGTTGTGTGGATTTCATTGAGCTATTTTGACAGAACAAGCTCTTGCTGCAAACATTTAAAACATACAGGTACGCAGAATTGGAAGTGAATCCATTAATCTGCACTTGATCAGCTCATAAATCCAAATTGCTGTTTAGGTTGAAGTGCAGGCCCCAAGGTTCAATCTGTCAGTTCCAGCCTTGCTTGGTGGTTTGTCAGGTTCTGAGAACTGCCCCAATTGTTAACAATCATAAGGTGGCCAGCTATTCTGCTTTGCTCAGGGCAGAGGTGTTTCCTGGGATGCTGAACTTACAGTGTTAAAATTTGGATAGTTCCCAGTGAGCCAGGATGGGTGGCTCACTGCACAACAGATAAAAATCTTTGAGGAACCAGTTCATAGCCTAGAAAACATTTTTTCTCTTGATTAAAGTAGATAAAAACAGATAAAACCAAATAACAGATAAAACCTCAGAGAACCAGCCCATAGCCTGGAAGACATTTTCTCTCGTGACTAAAGTGGCCACATATCAGTCTGCTGTCAAGGCAGAATGGTTGCTGTGTTTGCCTGCAAAGCCACTGAACTCAGAACCTCCTTTTGTGACATAATTTGAGAAGTCTGGAATGTGCAGTGCTCAGTAGAAAACCAAATGGCATTCTTCTCTTGCTTGGAGCTGTAGTTCAAGAAAGCACAGGGATGAACAGCGGTTCCCTTGACATGGCAGGGGCACTGCCTAGGACCCAGGCCCTGTGGTTGTAACTACAGTGCAGCGACCCAGTGACCCAGGGACTGTGACTAATTGGGGTTGGGGGGAGGGGGGAGCTGCGTGTTACATAAGACCTTACACAATGAGGTCCATTCTTAGGAAACCCTTAGGTCCAGATGGCTTTTGTCATCAGTTGCTATTAATTCCAGGTCAGTATATTCCAAAAGACATTTCTTACAGTACTAGGGAAAAAGAAATTCCAGCACCCTGCATCAGAGCTGAAGAAAACAGGCCTGTTAAGAGCTGTCATCCATCAAAGGAGACATTACTGTCATGTTGATTTTAAGAAGGGGAGTGTGGGGTTTTCCTACTGCTTCTCCCTTTCTATTAGAGGGCTACTCTGCGGATTGTAGGGTGAGGAGGCAAGGAGTGGGGAGAGGTGGAGAGAAGCAAACCTACAACAAGCATCTAGATCTGCGCACGAATCTTTCCAACGCTGGTTATAAGGAAGATAGGCTTGAAAATGGCATTGGCCACTGGCCTCTTCGAGCTCATTTACTCTTCTAAGAACAAAGAACCTGTGCTGCTACAAAGTGGGAAGTGTCTACATGAATAAAAACAGAAAGAATAATGAAAACATGGGGACCTTGCTACTGCAAAATGTTTTGGGTGAATTATTTACTTCTCATTTTGGTTGTATGAAGTAAGAACTGTTACTATATTTATTTTACTGAGGCTCCACTGGACCAAGCAATTCATCAAGATCTACACCTGGAGGGGCAGAATCAGTAGTCAGTGAAATGCTCCAGTTTGTCTGTATGCCCATGTTCTTTCGATTTGAAGATTACCTTCTTCTTAACAGTGCAGAGAAAGGAAAATATGCGTGTCCCTATGATCTGAGGTGTATGTTTTAGTGAGATGCTTCCTTATCCTTCTTGTAATATGCTCTCATTTATTCTTCTGCTATAACTAAGATGTCCTAAAAGAGAGCTGATCAGAACTACTACAAGGCAAGCAGCACTGGTATGCCTGTTCTTGTGTGTGTACATGTATGTGCACATGTGTGTGTGCATACATATGCATATGGTGGTGGTGGTCCCTGAATCCCAGTGTCTGAGTCTGAGTGTTAAGGTTATAAATAGTGACTTGGATTGTCGTGTCCTAAAATGTAAGTCTTGGAAAACCTGACTAAACTTGCTCAGAGGTTCTCTACTTTCTCTCCACCACCCTTCTGGAATGTCCTCTCCTTGTATCTGAGGATGCCTTTCTTGAAGTCTTGAATTGTGTCTTGGATGGCAATAACTGGTAAAAACTGCAGGAAGTTTGACCATCTGGAATACTTATTCATTCATTTCATCAATAAGTAGTTACTGGGGCCTTCTGAATATAAGGCACTGTTCTAGGAGCACTCGTGCTTTGTGGACACTGAAATTAAATAAGAATGTATTACTAAAAGCTGGACAGCCCATAAAAATGAGCTTGTCTATGCTTTCTTGTTCTTTAACTAGTTAGGATAGATTTGGGCAAAGATCAATAAACTACAAGTGCAATGGCTTTTTCTTAAAATGTTCATATGCACAAAGTTTTATACAGGTGGTTTTTCTACAAGTTAGCAAGCTGGTTCAGATATCACTAGTGCAAAGTAGCTCAGAATGAATTTAGCCCTTCTGGACATTACTCTGCAACTTTTTCTTAGCATATTGCAGCTTCCTCTGGGCTGCAGTGAAAGGAAAAAGAGACAATTTTTCATTTCCCTGGTCCCAGGCAGAGAAAGGAGCCCCAGCCCGAAGTGATGTGGGATCATTAGAACTGTGTTTTCAGGCTGCCAGGTGTGACAGAGTGGGTGCCTTCCTCGGCTCCAGCCCTGTGTTGTCCTAGCTGTTTCTCAGAAGGATTGAGCCTTCGTGTGGCTTGATTTAGGGTCAGGATCGGTAGATCAGGTCCCAAATCTGTTTACTCTATGAAATTTCCTGGGAATTTTTTGAAAATGGAGTTCATTAGACCTTTAAAAAAATACTTTAAAAAAATCCCAATTTCTAAACGCAAACCCACAGAAAACGCTTTTAAAAGCTCCTTGAAGATACCAATATTGGAAGTGGTTGGCAATTACCAATTTTTCAATCTACTTCCGCAGCTTTGCCATCGACCCTTTTTACACTTCTCCAATGCCAATGTATTTATTGGATTTTTTACTTCTTTACGTTCTCTGCACTGTCTTCTCCCCTAAACTAACTCTAAATTTTACAAAGGTAAGAATCCATTTTGTTCAATGTTGATTGTGTCCCTGACACCTGGAAGAGTGCCTGGCACATTAGAAGCACTCAGCAAATACCTGCTGAGTGAACAAGTGAGTGAGTGAATAAATGGGTGGATGGAAGACAGCTTTAGTTGAATGTTTTCTTAATTTGTAGAAAAGAAGTATTCATAACTCCCTCTGGTATTCTTCAATAGTCTCCGCTTCCTAGATTTCTTAATGTTTGCAGCAGCTTCTCAGTCTTTGCTGTCTTGAATCAGAATTTTTTCAATCTTAATCTTATTTGGGGGTCTTATTTTTCTCCATCTTATCAATGACCGACTCCTCCTGTGACACCAACTTCTACCATTTGGTGTTTTCATCTCTGTCACTGTGTGGTTGCTTCCTTAGCCTTTCCTTCTCCTCTTTCCAACCTCCACCAGCCACCTCTGGGTCCCTTGGAGGTTCTCTAGGCTGTGTTGCACAACAGGGCCTTTCAGCCACCTGATGATTTTCATTACTCTGTCTTTCTGCTCTAGCGCCATCTGCTGGATAATATTGAAGCTGCAGGAACGCCTTCTGGACCTCACTTTCCCCTGCGGGGCATTGGACAACCCCTTCCCACACACTAGGGTGAGTTCAAGTCCCAGCTGGCACCTGAGTGCTCCGAGAGCAGCAGCCTTCATGATCCATATGAAGTTAGAGAGAATGCAGCGCTTTTTTTAAATGTCATGAAATCCCACAAGTCTAAATGAACGGTGGTTCTTATGACTCAGTGTCTTTCAGAGTGTTTCGTAAAGCAGCTTCCAAAGGTTTTAATTATAGCCTGACCTCACCTTTTTCACAGGCCGCAGACATGAAACCATCCAGTTGAATTTTAAGGCACTTCTGAGAACAAATACTACCCTGAACTCAGAGTCAAACCACTCATCTGAAAACTAAGGCTTTGTTGCTTGGCCAAACTCTTTGGTTTCACTCTCTTCCTTTCAAACCAGCAAGCCACACCTAGCCCAGGGGAACCAAATGCCAGTGATGAATTCAGTATAGGCTTCAATGTAGACTCTTCCTCCCCTAATATCCTGTTCCAACCTCCCATCATCTTGAGCCTAGATGACTCTTTTCTTAGTAGCAAGAGTTCCTATAGCTAGCTGATATTTTCTGAATGGGTGCTATATGTCAAACATCAACTAAAAATTTCATCTGTTTTGCTCCTTTCTCTGGGGCCTGGTAGCACCCAGCATGGGCTTTGAAATTACACCACCCTGAGACTACACTCAGCTTTACTATTGCTCTGTGATCATGAGCAAATAAATCACTTGATCTCTCAGTGCCTCGACTTCACCCAGGAAACAAGAGTCTAATTATTCTCCTGTGAGTCTGTTGAAAGGATGGAATGAGAAAAATCTATCTAACGCCCTCAGGACAGAGTCTGGCACATAAGTACTTAATAAATGATACTTATTAGTGTTCTTGTGTTCTTGCTCAAGATCTCTCTGAACTCTAAAATCCAGCAAATTAGGGCAATTAGATTATAGATCTTATTTCTAGACCTAGTTAATTAGATTGTAGACCTTGTTTCTAGGTGATAGACTTGAGGAGAGAACCCAGAGCCACAGAAATGGTGCAGTGTATGTATAAATCAAATGTGATTTATTTTCATCAGGCCCTTTCCTATTCCTACATCTGTTGACCTCTATTATTTTTCCAAAATATCTGAACCCATCCCAGCAGAAATGCCACAAGCACAGCTCACTTACTGCCTTGATCTTCAGGAGGCCACTTTCTGGTGAACTTTGACTTGTATTTGATTAAAGAATTTGTCTGACATCTATTGATTCTATCAAATATAATAATTTTGTGTCTCAGTTGGGGATGTGTGTTATCTGTACTGTGATGTGTGTATGTGGTATATGTGGTTGTATGTGTTATTTGCGATGTGTATTTGTACCCTCTGACTCTCACTGGCAGGCATAGGGTCTTCTAGCTAATGTTATACTATGAAGGCAAGCTATGGGGCATAGACTATCCTAAACTGGTACCTCAAGGCCACTGTTAATTCACTGGAGACCTTGTATATGATTTAACATTTGTAATCTTGCTTTGTTATATGATAATTGGGAGTTTTTACCTTTCAAAATTGCTTGCAAGAAGTGGGAATAATATAGACACAATAAAGCCATCCTGCAGTATTCATGGGAGATTGGTTCCAGAATGCCCCATTAATACTTAAATCTCACCTTAAAATGATGTAGTATTTGTGTATAAGCTCCATATCTCCTACATATGCTTTACGTTATTTCTGTTACAATACCCCATATGATATAAATATTATGTAAATAGTTATTAAACTATTTAGGGAATAAATTGCAAGAAAAAATTGAATCTGTTTAGTACTAATGTAATTTTAAAAATTTTTTTTTCTCTCAAGTTATTCAATCATTGGTTATAGAGCTCCACAGATATGGAGAATTGCCTTATATACAATTGTGCTCAACACATACAAAGCACTTGATAAGTAGTGGTCATATTAGTAGTAACAGAAACTAGAGAAAAGTACTCTGCTCTGTAAACCCTAAATAAAATTACCCATTGGCTCAAGGCCTCTTGGTATCTGCTCTTCTTTGGTATATAAAGTCACTTGTCAGACTCAGATAAGAAGACCAACAACTGGATTACATAAAAATACACCAATGACATCTCCCAAAAGTAACTTTCAAAGCACTAGGGCTTCAGACAGTCAGTGTCCCTCTCTGTTCCATCCCCCTCCCCCCACTGAAGAGGGTGCAGAGGACAGGGAAGGGTGCATCCCCAGAAAAGGAAGAGGAACAAGGGAACCGTCTACCACCATACTCAGGGAACACAGGCTTCTTGTTCTTGGGATATGGGAAGATAAAGTTGGGCCGTCACTTTGGATATTTTTAGAGATTTGCATATATCCTTTTAAGCATATTTTCATTCAGCTCTCATTCTAATACTACCAGAGAAAGAGGCAAAAGAGGGTCACTGCTGTTAAAAGAAAAGAACAGAGGTAGAAAGTTCAGACTTTAATCCCTTCTGCCAATGACAGTATTTACACTGGGATTTCATAGGTACTTACACCTTTGTCAAAGGTGGCAAAAAACTTGATGTAAGGCTGGAAGTGTTCAGCTGCCTCTTCAAAAGCTTTATAATCTAGCAGGAAGAAAAACAATAAAAATATTTTTAAGAGGTACACTACAGACTTCTCTTTTTAAATGATATGCAAGAGTCGAAAGCCAATTAATCCTGATTGAATAAGTATTTAGCAGGCATTATTTAGATAGCTAACTGCTTAGTACTATTTAAACCCATAGTTTCCACCAAGGAATTTGAATTAATTAGCACTGAGTCATCCAAGAGGCATGTTCAACACATTTTTATGAAGTTGGAAAGCAGAAAACAAGAGAAGTGGAAAAGAACAAGGAAGAAAACAAAGGCATGTGAAACTCCACAACAGCAGATTTTCTACTCAACTTACTGCTTCTTATAAATGTAACCTCTGGAGTGTAGTTTGCTGTATAAATAAGCCTAAGTTAAAAAAATTCCTCCATATAAAGGAACTTCAACCAAAGTTGACATCACAAAAATTTTTAAGCCTCTTATCATGAAAACCCCTGTTGATGAATCCTAGTTTTCTTTCCTTTTTCCCCTGATTTTTGGGGAAACATTTGAATTCAGTCAAGCCTGTGCTTTGTTTCTAGTCCCAAACTCTAGCCCAAACTACCAAGGTAGGCATGAAACTGCGTGACTGTGGGAATGTTGCACTTTGTTACCTGTAAGCAAGTAGTGTACTTGGTAAAAATAGTTATATTCAAGCCTGAGTGATGGTAATGGTGATGACTGTGGCAATTCTGCATAAATTCTAAGTTCCCGAGGGTTAATGAGCCTATAATTTAGTCTAATAAGATCAACTTTATTTCCACATTCTACTATCAGAAGTATAAGGTTTTGCTAGAATTCTGGGACTATGAAGAATCTTTTTAGAGTTCCATAAAAAGTTATTTTAGAACAATGCTGCCTCAGGAGATACAAGATCAGTAAGACAAAGATACAGATCTCAGAATGTGCTCAGCCTAGAGAAGGCTATGGTCTCTTACAATATCACAATGCAGTGTGATAGTTGCTCTAAAAGAAGTCACAGCAACAAGCGTATGAGAGAGGGGTTGAACATTTACAAGAACACTGGTGCCTACTGATCATATACCCTAATCCCAACTCGTACCATGGAAGTAATCAAATGTCAGGAAAAATATCAGGTAGCTTGATAGTTGGGGTACAGGCCAGACAGATAGAAAAAAGACAGGTGAGGGCACTTGAAGGACCAGGCAAGAGAAGATGAGGCAGTGAAATGTCTGGGGCTGTGTCCAGGCAGCAGTGAGCACCACCACCCACTCTCAGTGTTCCTGATGAATTTTTCATTGCCTCTATGACTTCCTGCCCAGACAGAAGAACAGCCTAGTCCTGGATCAGAGCCTCCATCTTCACCCAGAGGTCTAATCTGCATCATTTTTAAGATGGAGGATGGAGCAAGGTGACTCTCTGGGTTGGTAGTTTGCAATGTGGTTGAATCTTTAGCCTCACCATAACAGCAGTTGCCTTCCAGGTTATCTGTCTGGTCTTGTCCTCTGCTCCAGTATGTTGAGTAATCCTCAACAATCAACCTCTGTCTTTTACCTTACAAAGATTAGCTTTTCGTCACCTCCCTTCCTATCCCTCGGGATTTTCCAGACTGGATTCAGTATATTAGACTTAAGTGGTTAATAGCACCACTTAGAAACCCTGAAGAGAAATGCTTAAAGTAATATTTGTCTTACAAAAAAGAACCAAACCAAGTTGGGGATAAAACCATCCAAGAAGCAGGTGAACACATTATGATGGATCATGAGGAAACTGCCTGATTTGTATATTGGTGGTGTGGTTGCAACAGGAAGGTCTAAAGACTTTACATCAAATTCTTTATGAAAATACTGAGATCTATTGGTGTTTATTCAAGTATTTATCGAAATCTCTGCCATATGAAGTTTTGCAAATGAATCTGAATTCCACATGAAAGGTTGTCATAAAAAGGTGACTCCAACAACATGTCAGTGTGCATCACCTCTTTCCTTTAGCTCTCAGTGAAGAAGCAGATTTAGAGGCCCTTCCCCTGTTCTATGACAGTTTTATAAGCAGTTTATCAACTAAGAAGTGGATCAAAAAATAAACTGTGAATTATATTCTTTTTGCAGATAATCATTGCCTCCCCAAATACGATGCTTTGTTGAGCATCTAAATACACTTCACTGAATGTTGAAAGAACAATGTGAAGTATATAATGTATTCTTAATTTTCTTAATTTAATGTTTTCTTTTTTTGTTTTTTATTGGTACCAGGAATCAAACTCACGACTGCGTGCTTGCAAGGCAGGCACTTATGCCACTGAGCTAAATCCCCAGCCCCAATTTAATGTTTTCTTAATTTAAAAGCAAGGAAGTTCACTCTTCAAAAGAAAATTCAAATGGTTCACAAGTAGGCTAGGCATGGTGGAACATGCCTGTAATCCCAGGATTTGGGAGGCTGAGGCAGGAGGATCATTGTAAGTTTGAGACCATCTTGAGCTACAAAGTGAGCTCAAGACTAGCCTGGACTGCAAAAAGATAAAGTAAAATACAGTACAATAAAATAAAATGGTTCACAAGTAATCTTATTATTTCAGATTTTAAGAATAATTATTCAGATTAGTAGAGTAATACCTGTTCATCTCTAAAGAGAGCCTCATTTTAAGTATAATAAATATAAAAATGCCTCAATAATTTTCAATCCAATCAAATTATTATAAGACATCTGAGCATTGTGTTTGTCAAGGAAAAATCATAGTGGTGAAGTTAAGGTATTTTCATGCCTTTGAAGGAAAATTTAGAGATTGGATTATCTGAGTTATTTTCAGTGGCAAGAAAAGAATATTCATCCATCAAACGCAAAGCACCGAGGAGCTGTGAATGCACTTCACTGGTAGAGAGCTTCCCTAACAAGTGTGAGGCCCTAGGTTCAATCCACAAAAGAAAAATTCTCTATTACCTATCACTATCCATATATACATGTGGTTAATGACAACTGACAAGATTGTAAAGAGATTATCACTTAATACCTTGCTCAGGAACTGAATCATTCCTAATATCAAGAAGCTCAGGTGTAACTCCTAATATCAAAATGCCATGCTCTTGGGAGCAGGGTCAAGATTCTCATTCAAACCTACAAATATTTTACTTGAATTTTTACAAAGTAATATGTGATTCCCACCAACAATGGAGAAGGGTTCCTTTTTCCCCACAGCTCCACCAGCATTTGCTATTTGTTGATTCCTTGATATTAGCCATTCTTTCTGGAGTGCGATGATATTTCAGTGTTGTTTTAAGTTACATTTCTTGAATGATCAGTGATGATGAACATTTTTTCATATATTTATTTGCCTTTTGTATTTCTTTATCTGAGAATTGTGCATTCATCTCAGATGCGCATTTTCAAATTGAGTCTTTAAATTTGGAGGGGACACTTTTTCCAACACTACTATGTAAATTAATACAGAGATTCCTCAAAAAAAGTACGATTAGAGGTTGCATTTGACTCAGTTATTTGCCTTCTGTGTATTTTCCCAGAAGAACTGAAAACGTCAGATTACAGTGATATATGTGTGCCCATGTTTATAGCAGCACAGTTTGTATAAGTACCATGTGCTATCAGTTGAGCCATGTGCTATCAGTTGAGCCACTGGAGCTCCTAGCAGCACAATTTGTAATACCTAAATCTTGGAAACAACCCAAGTGCCCATCAATTCAGGAAGGAATAAAAAAGATGTGTTATTTTTATATAATGGAGTACTACTCAGCCATAAAAAACAATGAACTCAAGTCTTTTATGGTAAATGGGTACAACCAGAAACCATACTCATAAGTGAAATACATTAGACTTGCATGTTTAAATACTGCATTGTCTTGCTAGTGTAAAAAACTGAAAGAGTAAATAAGATGGAAAAGCTATAATAGATATTGTAAAAGGGAAAGAAATTGCTCAAAGGGAAAATGTATTATTTGATACATCTTCTATGCCTGTACCTTGTAGCCTGAGAAATTACTGTGAGAATAATTTATGCAATATAGGAATCATCGTTAAATTCCTGTCATCTTGTTTTGAAATCCTATATCACCATTTTTTTGTTGTTGTTGTTGTTGTGGTCATTTTGCTTATGTTGTTGTTTTTAATTTTTTGCTTCTTGACTTTTCTGTTTTTTCTCTTTAAAATAAAAAGTAACATGTGATATATTTCCTATTTTTGTATTTTATTATTATTATGTAGTACAAAGTAAAAAAAAAATCACTAAGCCCAATTCTCTTCCAATTTAGATTCACTTTATGCCTACAAGCATTACCACATTTCACGTGTGCTGTGACAGTTACATGTGTGACCTCTGAAGTCAGATTCCTGGAATTTAAATGGTGACTCCACCGTTTGCTAGCTGTATGCTAATAGGTGAGTTAGTTAACTGTGTGTGTTGTATCCTTTCATCATCATTAAATTATAGGCAACAGTGATAACTACGTCAAGAGCTTGTTGTGAGCATGAAATTCTCCATATGGAAAGGATAAAGTGGGGCAGGGCAGGAGAAGCTCCCTGAAATAGTAACATGGGCACAGACAGAAATGGGGCAGAACTCCTGGCTGCACACCCCCAATACATTCATTTTAAGCACTGGGAATGGAGGTTTTAGGGAAGCAAACGAGAAGAGAGTTAATTGGAGCGTGCGTGAGAGCAAACAAGCGGCTGTTAATTGATTAAGGATGTTAGTGGGAAGAGAGAAAGAGTTTGACAAAATTTCAAAGTAGTTTGGGATTTCTAGAAATAGTCATATGCAGCCCATATTTGCACCTCTTGGTTCTACCAATTCTACCAGATCCTCTGACACCCACCCCTTCTGCGCCTTTCCCTCTCTTCAAAGCTGACATGCAAGAACCAGGCTTAACTCACTGGGCCCAGGCCACCAAAGCCATTTCCTTTTTTAAAAATGTACTCCAGTAGTTGTCTTTCCCGTCCCTCTTCCTCCTCTTCCTGACATCTACTCAGCCCCTCCCATCTCTGCACAGCTGTGGTGATGCTAAGATGGGTCTGTGCCCACACAAACCCTGGCTGCAAAGCTGGCAGAGGGAATATGCCTAAGAGTGTGGTTGGTCATGGCAGGCAGCCTGGCAGCCAGGGATGGTCTGAGCCAGCAGTGTTCCCTGTCCTTAGCGGCCAAGCCTATCCCTTCCCGAATTCTCTGCTGCTGTTTTCCAATCGACAGAGAAGTTCTCTAGTGCGTGACTGAGGAGGTGCTGATGCATTTTGGACAGCCTACTGTGGGTCCCTGGTAGAGGAGACTGCATCGCGGATGTGAGCAGGTGAGAAAGTAGAAGAGAGGCTCTTACACACATGCAACACACACACACACACACACACACACACACACACACACACACTCACATCCACCCGTTTTGAGGCCTGAGCACCTGACCCAAATTTAACATTTTTCAGCCCCAGTGACCTGCATGTGTTTCTACATGTGCCTCATTGTAAAGAAAAAATTCCAGCCTCTGTTCCCCCCAGAAAATGGAATATGGAAGATCCATCTTCTATTGGGATAATCCAACAGTGCTTCTTGGGAACCCAGCCATCCACTGCCAGGCAGGATTAACAGACAACTTACGTTCTGAGTCCTCACTCTTGAAATAGCCAAGGAGTTTGATCTGGTCCTCAATGCGTTCAAAGGCCTGGACCTCCAGTTTGCTGTTGATTATCTCCACTGGGTCTTCAATTAACTGAAATGCCACACACACATGCTCACAAATATGTTCAAGAAATACAACTTTTCATATTCCCTAGTTGGGAAGTAGGCTCTCTGGAGGGAAATTACTGTAGACTTCGTGATTCAGACCTTGACCATTCATCTCACTCTGCCCTGGGCAGCACAGCAGCTATATTTTTGGAAGAATTGATTTTTAACTCAAGCAATGGGATGATTGCTTTGAAGGAAATTTTTTCCTCTTTCTAGATTTTTTCTTTATTTTAGTTGTAAATTGATTAATGGGTTACAAAATGATGTTATGAATTATAAATATAGTGTAGAACCGTAAAGTCAACAAAATATACATTACCTCAAATTAAATATAGACTTTGGAATGGGAACATTGAAATTTACTCTCTTAGCAATTTCACAGGTATATAATATATTAATTACTGTATTTTCCACACTATTCAATGTATCTCAAACAAAAAAATCTAAATCAAAAACCCTATATTCCTTCTGTCTGATTACAAGTTTATATCATTTGATCACCATCTCCCCATTCCCTACCTTACCCCATTCTCTGCTACCCAACACTCTATGTTTTGCTTGGTTTGGAGCTCAATTGTTTTAGTTTAGGTTCCACATATAGGTAGAAACATTGATGTTCTCCAATTCCATTAATATTGCCATAAATTACAAAATTCCTTTTTTTAGAAGTTGGATAATATTTTATTGTGTATATGTACTAACTTTCATTTATCAGTTGTTGAACAAATGGCCTGATTTCATAACCTATATTGCCACTTACTAATTCCCACTTACTAATTTAGGAATAGGCAGGTCGTCCAACTCTAGTCCAATGCGGTTAAATTTGCCGAAGCAAATGTTCTTCTTGACTCTTAAAAGATCAGTGGTTTGAAGCCAGATTTGGGGTGTTTTTTTACTCTCTCATGGGATATGAATGAGGAAGTGTGGTGCATCACTTGCTTCTGACCATCATAAAACTAACTTGGGAAGAGCCAGCTCGAGGACAAACGCCACAAACTGAAAATAGAATCATCTGTGATTCACATTGCAAGAGTCATGATTTGTTCAAGTCAGAATCTTAACCCTAGTTTACTGTTTATGTGGGTCAATCACTGTTCATTGTTTAAAGTAGCTAGAGTATCATTTCCCAAGGCCTCCTAGCAGGTGGAGTTGAGGCAGTGCCATGTTGGCCTGGAGTTAGGACATTGTGTCTCCCAACATTTTTAGGTCTTGTCAGAGTAGGCCAATGAGATTGCTAGATAGAGACTACAGACACATTTTTGGATTTTTGGTAGAAGGTGGTCCTCAGCTCACTTCTGACCTTCTCTATGGTTTTTGAGGTTGTATAAAGAAAGCAATAAGTCACTGGATACCAACTGATAGACAAGGAATGGTCAGTATGGATGTTCAGCAGCAAGTTCTTTGTACAGAGCCTGTGTTCCACAGCATTTAACTTCGTAGATATTATTGAAACTGTAATTTACCTAGGAATAAAATTTTTTTAGTGTTTCCTCTGTTTGTCTGAACATATGGATCTGAGTGTGGTGTATTCATGACTAAAAGTTACTGTAATTTAGGGGTACACTTTAGCTCAGCCTGTTCATGCTGCACTGAAGGTACCTCAGGATGACTCCTTTTCTCTCTGTGGGTGACTGGTTGCCTTCTTTGTCTCTCCACTGCATAGCTCCTCCTCAGCAACTAGCTCCTGGAGCTAGTTAAGGGAATTTCAGTGGATAGTCGGGTAGATCTTGTAAAATAATTAACACTTAACTACTGCATGGTCCAGATTTGTGACTCACAGGTCACTAATAATCATGTTTTTTGGGTGACTTAGAAGTCAGCTTCCCAGAAAAGGTAGATAGCACTGTGATATGGGCATTGTTCAGTCTTCTGTAAAGGATGGGAAACCTGTCTTAGACCACGTCAGAATATCCAGCATCTATGTTCTTATTGTGGAGCTTTACCTCTCCCTATATACGAGTCCAGATATGTCCTTACAGGGCCACTGTATAAAATGCTTACATCCAAGAGAAACTCCACCAAGACATCAGCTGCAAACTCGCCATCAAACTCAATTGTGCGATCACCCTTAAGAATATAGAGGCTTCCTTCTTCAGCAAAACCTGGAAGAAATGAAAAAGACCAAGGACAAAATCACTTTGAGTGACCACGGGGTCAGGATTAGTGGAAGTAGAGTTAACCTAAGCACAAGCTCTGTCAGAACAATACTTCTGAGGGGCTCTGCAAATAGACATTTAAATTGAAATAAGAACTAAAAATTTCACCTGGATTTTAATTTAAAAGAAAAATTTATTTTCCACTCCAAAAATTTTCCAAAAATACTGCTGAACTCATGTTATTCTCTTTATCAAAATATCTACTGCGCATCTGACTCCTTAGCCAACCATTCAAGTCCCTCCAACATCTAGGGCCAACTCTGTTATTTCCATTCCTGTGGCTTGACCTGTGGTCCTTTTGGGAACTAATCCTAGTCCCTTGTATAATGCTCTTTGCTTCTTGCTCACATACTGACAAAAGAGTGTATCATGTGTGTGTGTGTGTGTGAGTGTGTGTGTGTGTGTGTGTGTGTGTGTGTTACTTTAATCATATTCTTGTTATACAAAACTGGAGTGATTTCCATCTCATCTCATCTTGGTTAGTTCTTTGGGAACTCAGCTTATGACATTTTTCCTAAGGTTAACCCAGTCCCAAAGAGCTCATGCCATTATCAGTCTGCAAGTACTCATTTAATGGTGCATCCCGTAAGGGTCTGATCATTGTCTTGTTTGTACCCCAGAACCTCGCACGGAGCCTGGACACAATGACCAATGAACCATAAATGTACGTGGCTGCACTGAATGCCTCATATTCTTGTTCTAGCACAATCACACTCACCCTCTTTACCCTGTGAGCTGATAGGTACTGCAAGGCAAGGCCTCATCTTTTCCTCTGCTGCCCTGCAGCACTCTTGGTGAAATGTTGCATATTTTAACAAATATTTGCTGGAAAACTGCATTTTCCTCAGGGAAACAGCTGAGGCTTCCACTTATTTCAACTGCACAGCATCTTAATTCCTTAAATTGTTTTCTCTACTAGCAAGAGAATGCTTTTTTCCAAATAAACTCATCTGCAGCCTCTCCAGGGACAAGAAGTTGGACTTCAGCTTGCTGTCTGTCTCAAGGCTCATCTGAGGAGCCCCTGGCACACTGTTGGTTACTCAAGAGAACAACATGACGTATTTTTGAATAGCTGGTGATGACTGATCTCAAAATGTACTGGAAGGAAGGAACATCAGCCAGTGTACTGCTGCTAGATTTTGTACGGAGCATAACCAGTTTGGAAGCTACTAAAGTAGCTCAGGCACAGCCTGATGGAAGCTGAATTATTAAGGCAAACAGAAGAGGGCATGAAGATCAAGGGGCAGATTCACAAGTAAAACTATGTCCTGTAAACCCCAAGGACTGAGCAGCCTGAGGAGCTTCCCTCAGTCCCTCCACACTCAGCTTGTTTGTTCAATACTGGGGACTGAGCCCAGGGCTTTCCAATTCTAACCAAGTGCTCCACCCTTCTAGGCTGAATTTGGAGAGAATTTTATGTATGTTAAAGCCTGTCATTACTTTGCTAATTTATTTTATTTATTTATTTATTTATTTTTGTCTTTTTCCTTTTTATTGGTACCAGGGATGGACTGCCTGCTTGCAAGGCAGGCGCTTATGCCACTGAGCTAAATCCCCAGCCCGCTAATTTATTTTTATCAATTCTTCCACAATGTGTCCTCCTTAGATTTATATATTGCCAGAACACTATTTTTTTCTAAGCTTACTAAACATTCTCCAGAATACAACATACTCATTTAAATAATGGAAAGAGAGATGAATAGGTGTCAGTCAACTGTTGCACAGGAGAGGGAACTCATTCACTTGTTTTTGACTCTAGGAAAAGAGTTTACTGTATGTTGTTCCCATGCTCAAGGAGGAAAAACAATCTTCCTTATTATGTCTTCAGGGGCAGAGACACCCCAGGCATTCTTAATAAGTCATTGTCATTTTAGAGCCCTGATTTCTTCCTATGTCTAACTTTTCTGCCACAATTTAAATATTTTTAAAAGGCTGATCTCTTAGAAAATAAAATAGAAAATAGTTGTTTGTAGATTTCTAGGATAATAAACTTTCATATACTTGAAAGTATTTATTGAAGTACCACTGAATTTATTTTTTTTCTGTGCTTACCACTGCAAATCCAGTTAACCTCTCTTCAAAGGTTCTGTTTTATAACCTCCTGCTATTTTTAAATAGCCATCCTTCACTAGTCATGCAGAAAAACCCAAATATCCAGCACATGAGCAAGGGTGTTTGGAAATGGGGGATTACCTATATCCCTCCTCCTTGGGATTACAGGTTAAGAATCTTAAAGAGCATTTGCACTTAAGCATGACATATTGACACAAGAGATTACAAGTGCCATCATGTAGTGGCTTAACCATATCTCACCTAAAGCCTCCCTCTCATTTTGGGTGATAATGTCCAGCTGGAGTTCATTCTTAAATGAGAAACCCTGAGACCCTGGAATTACTTCTTCTAGTGTTATCTTTTGTCAGTTGCTTCTGCCAAGAGATGAGAAAATCAGGAGATGGAAGGAGAGAATTTAACTCTCTTAGCAAGATCTCTGTATGCTGAGACAGAGGAGATGGTATTTCAGTTTACTTTAGGAACTAGAAATCAAAGCCTAGGTCTTTAGTATTGGTTTTTCTGGGAGATCCTCTTCATGGCACTAACACAAAGATTTATTAAATGGTGGATGTTAAACCATTAAATTCAGGCCTAGATATACTTTTATAAAACTCTTTCCCAATCCAAGATAGATGAGATCATTTCATCTATATTCAAAATGTAACCCAATTATCATACAAGAGTAAGGACAACTGCACTTTTTTTTTTTTTTTTTTTGCAATATACATTTGTTTCTTCCTGAAAAATCTCAAACATCACACGTACCCAGTTTCTTGGCAAGCTTGGCTTCTTTCTTGGCATCCACCATCACAAAACCTATATCTTTATGTTCCAGGACCTGGGCCACAAGCTGTAGGGACAAATAGGTGGATAAGTGGGGTAACAGCAGACAGACAGCAGAGACATCACAAGACAGTGCTCGCATGTACTAGCAGAAGGGTTTTCCTCCAAACTTCCTGCTGCTCTGTGAGCATTTAAAGCAGCAGCAACGGGAGCCTATACTTGTCCCTCAGGAGAAGAATAAGGCAGTGAAGTGCCAAGAACCGAAGGTAGAACATCCAAGGAACAGAATTAAGAAGTAAGGTTTGGAAGATCGTACCACCGTCTCTGCCCCAGGGAAGGAGAGAGGGGAAGGAGAAGGGAAGCAGAATACTCTAACACCTATGGATATCTGACACCCTTGTCACCCTGAGCCCCTCTCGCAGCTGCCAAGTAAACCTGAGGTGGGGACCCAGGAATAAAAGAGGCCTGTGCTTCAATTTCAAGCTGGCTGACAGGCGAGGAGGGTGCAGCACTATCCTAGGTGGAGAGATGGCTGAAAACTACTCTTGGTGGATGGCAGCACATAAGGTGACACCAAGTGCAAAGCTGGCATTGTGCTGACTTTCCTGAAATTTACGCATGAGCAAGAAGGGAAACTCGCCATTGACAGAGATCTAATTATCATCACCTGGCTGAATGCAGGCTGGAAATAGAAATAGGAAGTTACCAAAGAGACTGTGAAATACTAATACTGCGGTTTTTTTCAGTGCTGAGGATCAAATTCAGGACCTTGTGCATGCGAAGCAAGTGCTTTACCACTGAGCTGCAACCTACCCAAACACTACTTTTTAAAAATTAAACTGCATATTTCCACTTTGTATGTTTTAATTTTGTAACTTGAATGACTATTTCTAAGATGACAGTACGTAATTTATCAACTAGTGATTTCTTACTGTTTATTTTTTTTTGAAATTCTGCATTATTTCTGCCCTTTTTTCTGTTTTGCTTTTTTCTCTTTAAGTAAAATTTTTTAAAAAAATAAAAAATTAAACTGCATACAATATTATTAGTTAAAATACAATTTTAAGAAATTACACAGAGAGACCTCTTATACTCTTATCTAATCAAGTTTCCTCCACTAATAAGATCTTGTAAAACTGAGATACAGCATCCCAAAGTAGCACTGACATTGACACTGCTGTCACCGCTACAATCCATCTGTTGTCCCTATAGCCACAGCCACTGGTTCCCGCCCCATCCCACTCCTTCGCCCTAGGAAAGCATTAATTTTCCGTTCTGCATTTCTATAATTTTGCCATTTCAAAAATGTTTTGTAAATGGAATTATAACCTTTAGACATTGAATCTTTTCATCCATCATAATTAGCCCCAACAAGTCATTCAAACTGTCGCATGCATTACAGGCTCCTTTTCCTTGCAAAGTACAATTCCTTGGCATGTATGTAAGGCAGGGTATATAATCATTCACCCTCTGAAGGGCATCTGGATTATTTCTAGTTATTGACTATTAGGACCAGAGCAGTGCAAAGATATCTGTATAGGTTTTTGAGTTAAATATTAGTTTTAACACAGTCTTGCTATACTCACAATGTTGTATGGTAGTTTGTGTTTAATATTTCCTGAAACTTCCCAATTCTTTCCCAAAGAAGTTGCACTGTTTTATATTCTCATGAGCAATGTCCATGTGATCCATTTTCTCCACATCCTTGGCAGTGGTTTACAGTGTCACTGGTCATTTTTTAAAATTTTTACTCAGTCTGATAGGTATGTAATGTCTTATTGTGATTTTAATTTGCATGTTCCCAATGGCTTATGGTTTTGAACATACTTTTCAATGTGCTTATTTTGCTATATGCATGCTTATTATTAAATACCTATTCATTCCTTTTGTCCATTTTCTACTTGAGTTGTTTTATCATTGTTCAGATTTTAGAAATCTTTAATGGCAACTTTATAAAAAATGTACTTTATAAATTTTTCTCCAACAATGTAATTTGTGTTTTCATATTTTAAACCAAGGTCTTTCACAGAAGTTTAAAATATTTAGAAAGTCTAATGTAACAATTTTTTCAATTATTTATTGAGCTTTTGATGTTGTCCACTCTTGGCTTAGCTCCCCATCCTGCTTTGCACCCTGTTTTTTCTATAAGTTTTATATTTTATGTTTAAGTCCATGATGTATTTTGTGTTAAATATGAGTGAGGCCAATGCTCTTCTTTTTTTCAATAGATATCCAACTGCTGCAGTACCTTTTGCTGAAAGCTATCTTTCATCTGTTGGACTGGGTTTGCACCTTTATAAAAAAATTCAGTGGAACATTTATGAGTTCTCTATTTTTGATCTTTCTATTCTGGTCCATTGATTTGTATGTCTGCCTGTCTGCCAATATTACGCAGTTCAGATTCCAATAGTTATACAACAAGCCTTGAAAGTAGACCGTGTCTTCCTATCTTTTCTTTTTCCAAATTGCTTTAACTATTCTAGTTCATTTGTTTTACATAACATTTTGAAATAAACATGTTTATATCTACAAAGAAATCTTAAGGAATTAAAACTATATATCAGCCTTGAGAGAATATATTTACCCAAGTTGACTCTTCTATTCATGGACATGACATACCTATTTGATCTTTCTTGATTTCTCTCTTCACCATTGCCAAGTTTTCAGTATATAAAGACAGGTTTTATTAGACTAGTACCAAAAGACTTAATATTTTGACTATCTTAAAAGTATTACATTTAAAATTTTAATATACATATGTTTACTGATGACATATAAATATACAATTTTTAAAATATTTATCTTACATCTTGCAACTTTGTAAACTTATTAGTTCTAAAAAAATTTTAAAGATTGCTTATCTTGTTCTGTTTGTAGGTTTCTTGAAATTTTCTATGTAAATAATCTTGGTATCTGCAAATAATTTCTTCCTTTCTGATTTGTATGACTTTTTTGTTTCCTTATACTGATGAGAACTTCCAGAACTATTTTAAATGAGAATACCTTGTTCTCTTACCTTGTTTTTTCTTTGTTTCTTAATTTTAAAGATTTATTCATTTTCCTGTTTTACTTCTATGACGTATTTTTGCAGTTCTGTTGTTTTTTTCAGATTGGTAGATTGACTATGGATTGAATGGAACCTCCAATCCTAGTTTTTTGAGGAATCTCAATACTAATTTCACAGTGGTTGCACCAGTCTACACTCCCACCAACAGTGGAGAAGTGTTTCTTTTTCCCGCATCCTTGTCAACATTTGCTATCAGTTTTTTTTTTAACTTTTTATTGATACTGGGGATCGAACTCATAACCGTCTGCTTGCCAAGCAGGTGCTTATGCCACTGAGCTAAATCCCCAGCCCCTATCAGTTGTTTCCTTGATGATAACCATTCTTTCCAGGGTGAGATGAACCCCCAAATTCAAAGGCTCTTTCCAAAAATGGGCATCGGAGATGAACATACAGTTCTCAGATGAAGATATACAAATGGCAAATAAATGCATGCAGAAATGTTCACCATCACTGGTCATTTGAAAAATGCAAATTAAAACAAAACTCCATTTTAACCAAAGCACTAGGTGGCTCTTATGTACACTGAAGTTTAAAGACCATAACTAGAGGCTCTTTTGACCTCTCTGCCCTTGGTGTAGAAGTGCTAATAACAGTGAGAATAGAAGAAAGAAAAATAAATTCATCTGAGATTTATCTGCTCATTCCTTCCAGAAGATTTAAAGGGAGAATTTAACTCCAACATTCCCTAGACATGCACCACATTTGTATGTTTTTAGATAATGCAGGTATGTGACTCCCCGGGGTGCACAGAGTACAGCTTCCTAGGTATCACCTGAAACTTAGATGTGACTTTTGAAGACATATGGGTGGGAGATGCTACCTCACCTGAAATCAACTCTGTTTTTCTGATTTCCTGGTTAACCAAGCACAACCGTTTACACGTTCTATCTATGTAGACTGAGTAGGTAATAGTAAGTGGACCAAGAAGCCACACTGAGCCAAGAGTGCCTCTTCCTCACCACCCTAATGCACAATGCTTGCAGCAGCCTGCCCTCCATTCCTCTCCCCACCATCCAGATTAGGCCCATTGTCTGTCCATCCGAGCATTCAGCCCTAGCAAGCACTTTCATGGGTGGCTCATGGGTGGCCAAGACTGGCAAAAACCCATGTAACAAGGTCACTTTGCTACTGAGTGGGGAGAATAGCTATTGTGAGAGCCTGGGACCTCCTAGAGCAACTCCTGATGAGAATTCTGCAGTCCAGGAGGCTCTGCTGGGCCGGCAGGGCAGGCAGGACTCTGTCCACCCCATGCTTCAGTTCAGCCTTGTCTCCCTCGACCTTCCTCCAGCTCTAAATCTCCAGCTCACCTGCTCTCTTCTCTGCCTCATCCCAGTCTCATGTGCTTTCTCAGGTCACCATTATCTGTGGCCACCCATTACTATGGAGCGTGATTCTAGGCCCATCTTTCATCTTGGCCTCCTTTCTGCAATGCCAGTAGCACATCACATGGACACCACATGGGGATGTACTGTAATCATTAGGGTTAAGTATAAGTCTGTTCTATCTTGTGATTCCTCCCTCCCGAAAGAGAAAGTCTGTGCTTCTTTTGTATCTTGTACAGTTCCTTGGAGACACTTGGGAATGAATGGATGAACTGGCCCAAGTACTTCCCAAATTCAAGAGGTTTGTAAGACAAGAGGACAAGAAGAAATTGTCACCTAATACACTGACTTAGGGTTACTCCTTGTCTATGAGGAAAAGGTACAGTCAATGTTTCCTGAATGTCCAAAAACCTGTAATACTCGTGAGATGCAATTGCAATTCTTTCTTGAAATTTGCAACCATTCACCTGCTGATTTGGTTCAGTTGGTTATTTCTCAGTCTTGCCTATTTTTAGTCCATTCTGCAGAATGGTGCTGTCTATTAATTGATTATGTGAAATGCCTGGGTACTGGCACAGTGCTCACTCCTTCCAGAAATACTAGGGTTTGTTTTGACTTGTTACTGATTCTTTGGTGTACAAAAAGTACTTTTAAAATATTCTACATAATAAGAACCTG